GAGACGTTTAGCGCGGGGGTGTTTCTTGTAAAATGAAGTAATGAGGCGCTTGTCAAGGATATTTTCTGCTGGTTCCCATGTGTTGTGGCTGGCGGGAAAGCCCAACCATTTGATAAAGTATTCTGGTTTACCATTTCGCAATCGGTGTTTAACAATTTCTTCCGCAGTATAAATATCATCGGGTTGGTCAGCGTCGTAGTTTAATTCCCCGGCAGTACTGGCATTATCATCATCTTCAGAGTCGGAACAGTCGATTAACTCTGGCATCTGATCTGGGGCGTCCGCTGAGGGAACATGGGCGCCGGCAAAACTATCGTCTGGGAGGTCACTGTCCAACAGGTAAGGCTCGTCAATGTCGTCGGGAAGTTGACGTATTGGACGGGACGCTGGGTCCACGTAACGTTTCATTCTAGCTACGTGAACTGTCGTGGATACACGGCGGTTATCCATTGCACGCAGAACACAGTGTACTGGATAGAGAAACTCGACGATACGTTAAGGGCCATGGTAATTGTGAGCTAGCTTCTTGGAAAGCCCCTTACGGTTCTTGGGGGTATAAACCCACACCTTGTCTCCAAGGGAGAACGGAGGCGGTACTGCTTGGAGATCATGGAGTTCTTTCATCTTCTGTTGCGCCCGTTGTGTGTTTTCTGCCGCTATTCGCCGCACCCTTTCCACGTGTTCTACTACACGGGCTCTATGCTCGGCGACCAGCGGGGACATTTCCCTTGGGGGCAGCAGGGCGGTATCCATTGGCAATAGCGGTTCTCTACCATACAGCATGTAGAATGGGGATTCACCGGTAACTTCTGAAGGTGACACTCTGTAGGCGAACAGAACGGAACTCAGTTGCTCGTCCCAGTCCTTTTGATGGCTGCTGACATACATAGAGAGACTTTGTGCCAAGGTACCGTTAAACCTCTCCACTAATCCATTTGTCTGGGGCCTATATCCGCTTGTGAAGATCTTGTCGGTATTCATTAGGAAACAAACTTCACGGAACAGGCTGGAAAGGAAGTTAGATCCACGATCTGACAAGAGCACACGTGGGGCACCATGGCGACTGACAATTTCGTTCACGAAGATTTCTGCAACGGTTTTGGCCTCGATGTTTGGTATGGCGAATGCTTCTGTCCATTTCGTACACATATCCACAAAGACCAATATATAGCGATTATTATTATGTGTTACGGGCCACGGACCACTGATGTCGCAGCTAACCTTCTCAAATGGTGCTTCCACTGGGATTGGAAGGAGTGGTGCTGTCTGGCGCTGCTTGGGGGACTTTTTCATGGCACAATGTTCGCAGCTCAAGCACCAATGTTGGACATCCATGTACATCTTAGGCCAGAAATAGCGATCTCGAAGCTTGGCATAGGTCTTGTTTACTCCGAGGTGACCGCCAGTCGGTACGTCATGGGCATTTATAAGGACTTCGTGCCGTAAGGAGGAAGGGACCACAAGCTGAGACTTGGGCGTTGGCACCCGTTTTCCTCCTGGAATCCAAATGTGGCACAAAATTCCATCAGGGTCAAGGTAATACTGCTCAATCGTGTAGAGAAGTTTCTTGGCGGCTTTACTGTCCTCGGGGAGGTCTTCAAATTCCAGGTACTCAATGATATCGGCAAGAGCGGGATCTTTGCGTTGTAAGTCCTTAATTCTGTTTGTTTGTACTCCAGGGGTGTCTAATGCAGCAACGAGGGAGTCATATTCTCTTCTGGAAAGAGCATCAGCATTACCATTGCTTTTCCCGGAACGGTGGACAATTTCGAAGTCGTATTGCTGGAGGAGTAATGCCCATCGAGCAAGGCGGCCGGTTGGTTCCCGGATATTCATTAACCAGCGCACTGCATTATGGTCTGTGTGGATTGTAAATTTACGACCGTACAGATATGGCTGGAAGTACTTGACACCAGCTACAGCGGCGAGGGCTTCTCGTTCAGTGACACTGTAGTTTTTCTCAGCGGGAAGTAACTTGCGTCCGCTGTATGAAATTACCACCTCCCGGCCGTTGTGTATCTGTCCTAGAACCATACCAAGTGCGTCATCGCTTGCATCAACGTACAAGTCGAATGGCAACGTGAAGTCAGGATAGGCCAAGATGGGGGCCTGGGTCAGAGCTGTTTTGAGAAGGTCGAAAGCGGCTTGGCACTCGTTGGTCCACTGAAATTTTAACCCTTTCTTGGTGAGTTCATGCAGAGGGCCTGCAATTTTGGCGAAGTCTTTGACAAATTTCCTGTAATAATTTGCTAGACCGAGAAAGGCACGGACATCTTTTACCTTGCGGGGGACTGGATACTCCTTAATGGCCTCGATCTTTGCAGGATCTGGCTGTACTCCCTCTGGTGAAATAACATGGCCCAGGAACTTTACATTCTTCTGGCCAAAGGAACACTTCTTTGGTTTGAGTTTAAGGCCGGCTTCTCGGAATCGGTCAAACACCAGGCGGAGATGCTGTAGATGCTCATCAAAGGTACGGGAATATACGAGCACATCATCTAGGTAAATCAACGCTATTCTCCAGTTTAAACCTCTTAAAACGCACTCCATTAAGCGCTGGAAGCAACTCGGTGCATTGCAGAGACCAAATGCCATCACATTGAACTCAAACAGGCCAGCATGGGTGACAAAGGCGGTCTTTTCTCGAGACTCAGGGTCCATCTCGATCTGCCAGTAGCCGGACATCAAATCCATGCTAGAGAAGTACTGGGTACCAGCCAGGGCATCTAAGCTCTCTGCTATGCGTGGTAATGGGTAGGAATCTTTCTTGGTAATAGCGTTCACCCTTCTGAAGTCGGCGCAGAACCTATCAGAGCCATCGGGCTTCTTAACAAGCACTACAGGGCT